TGATGTTCGCCCCGCGCGGATGGCGTTGCATGTCAGACGGGTAATCCCCATCGAGGGTTTGGTGCAGTTTGCATGTTCGCCATATCCTAAGATGGTTTTTTGTTATTACGTGGACGCCTCCTACTCCTTCTCACTCTTCTCCTGCCCTCTCCTCCTCATGCCCCGACTTACTCATATACAGACTGACTCACACTCAGACTAACTCAACACATATTCACACACAAATACCTACTCATACTCATACCTACTCATACTCAGACCTGCTCCGACTCAGACTTACTCATGCTGAGACTCACGCGCGCCCCGTTCGCGGTCGTTTCGTGGGGATGCCTCAAGCGGTTTGCTTGTTTTCTGTCCCAGCATATTTCGCTATCGGAGCTGATTTAGAGGATGTCTCGAGCGAGGCGCTAATTTTCACCCCCCTTAGGGGAGCAACCAATGGTTATCTCACGGTCCCCTTCGCGGCCGTTCTGTGGGGATGTCTCCAGCGGCTTGCCTGTTTTCTGTTTCAACATCCTTCGCTTTCGGAGCAGATTTGGAGGATGTCTAGAGCGAGGCGCTCATTTTCACGTCCCTAAGGAGCCGCCGAGGGGTTATCTCACGGTCCCGTTCGCGGCCGTTTTGTGGGGATGTCTCAAGCGGGTTTGCCTGTTAGTTGTGCCGACATCATTCGCTTCCGGAGCAGATTTGGAGGATGTCTCGAGCGAGGCGCTCATTGTCACCCCCCTAAGGGGATTCAAATATTCACTGCGTGGGGCTCCCCATATGCGCATTTATTCCCATGGACCTGTCCGCCGTGAGAATCTAGGCGCAAAAACTTTCGAGTATAAACGGGTTTCAGTTGTGACGGTCTGGTCATGAATCTAACTGAGAATCAATTGGAGTGTGAATGAGCCTCAGTAGTACGAGCGCGTCTCTGCGCATGTCCCTGGGTCCTCCTGGGGCCTCCTGGGGCCTCCTGGGGACCTACTGGGGCTTCTTGGGGCCTCCAGGAGCCTCTTTGGGCCCCCTGGGGCCTCCTGGGACCTCCTAGGGAGGATTCGTGCCCGAGGAGAGGCCCAATCTATAGCAACAGTCGCACATAAAACATTGCGACTTGGAGCCGCAGAAAAAAAAGGGACAATCTATAGGAACACGCGTACAACACCAAGGAGTCGTGCCCTAGGAGAGGCCCTATAGGAACATAAGTACACAGGATATGGACAATCTATAGAAACATACGTATAACATCAAGGATTCGTGCCCCAGGTGAGGCCCAATATATGAGAGCATACGTAAAACACATGGGATTGGAACCACCCCTGTTGCCTTCTGAGGCCTCCTGCTCCTGGGGCCTCTCGGGGCCTCCTGTTGCCCTCCGGAGACCTCCTGGCGCTTCCTCTGGCCTCCTGGGGCCTCCTGTGGCTTCCTGAAGCCTCCAGGAGCTTCCTGGGGCCTCCTAGAGCCTCTTGGGGCATCCTGTGGCCTCTTGGGTCTTTCTGTGGCATCCTGATTCATCCTGGGACCTCATGTGGTCTCCACGGGCCTCCTGGAACCTGTTGGAGCCTCCTGTGGCATCCCCAGGAAAACCAGCGCCCACGAGTCTGGCCACCGATCGAGACATCCTCAAAATCTGGCCCACCTGGGGGGGTGAAGTGGAGCGCCTCGCTCGAGACATCCTCCAAATCTACTCCGAGAGCGAAGGATGCTGGGACAGAAAACAAGCACACCGCTTGAGACATCCCCACAAAACGGCTGCGAACGGGACCGTGAGAGAACCATTGGCGGCTCCCCTTAAGGTGGTGAATATGAGCGCCCCCCGCCAGTCCTCCTGCCAAGGGAACCTGGCTGTGGTTTTCGGCGACGCACCAGCGCCCTTGGCTAACAGCGTTGCAACGCACGCGCTGCATTACGCGGAAGTAGTAAGATGATATGTTTCTGACCTGATGCGTGGGCGCGCACGGCGCGGGCCTACATGGCGCGTCGAAGGCGCCTGACACACGCCCGCGATACTATTCACGACCGAAATCGGAAAATTAGCTCCGGCGGCGCACATGCGGTGGGACACGCGTGCGTTCGGCATCACCCGCGCGAGGTGGCTAACAATTTCGCGGCGTTGCGCTAAAAATGCCATTGTGCCCAACATCGTTTCGAAGCGCGCTGCGGTGCGCCGCGCAAGCGCGCGTGGACTGCGGCCTGCGTGCGGCCCGCGCACTAGTACGAGCGATTGAATCTGAAAGGGCCAGGCGCGGCACGTGCGCCATGAAAACGCGGCACACGGCAAAAGCAGTTACGAGAAGGAAACTCGCGCGATTCGCGTGCCTCCGTCGACCGAAATCGCTAAATCAGGGCAAGCGATCGGCGACGACCGCGTTTGACGCCACCAATAAATACATGAAAAAATGCAAAAACAAATTTGTCGAGGCCCTCGTTTTGTTTCCTGGTGGGCGCAACACCTGACACCGGGGGTCAAGACAAGGGCGTCTGCACCCGGAACCCAGCCCGCGCCCCGAAGTCGCGCTGGGGCGCCGAAACAGATGCGCCCACATCCGCCTCTGCCGATCATCGCCTCTGGGTGCTTCCTGCGCAGGCGCGGTGGCATGGGCGCTGCGCGACGCTGCCGAACCGCTGACGCGCGCTGCGCTGGGCGCTGCAATCTGCACCTCGAAGCCACGCAGGCGCCGGGGCGCGATCGCGACGGCCTTGCGGGCCGTCTCAATCAACGCTGCGCGGGGCGCCCCAGCCGCGCGCGCGGCGCCGCCGAGAAGAGGCTCCCACGAGCGAGCGGGCGGGGCCAGCGAGCTCGCGGCCCGGCGCCTGCGTGGCTTCGAAGTGCGGCTTTGGCGGCGCCCAGCGCGCGCGGCGCGCGCCTGTCCGAGGCTCGCTGCTGGTCGCCGCAGCCGAAACGGCTGCCTCGGCGCCAGCTGGGGCGTCGGCTGCTTCGCGAGCGCCCCGTCGCGGAAGCGCCACCAGCGCCGCTGCCGCAGCTGGCCCGCGGGGCAGCCGGCTGGCCGCTCGAGAGCTCGCGATGGCGGAGCGGCATCGGGGCGCTGAGGCAGGAGCCACCCCGGCGGCGCGCCCGCTTCTGCGACTTGCGGCCCGAGGGCCCCCTCGAGCGGTCCAGATGCAAGTGCTGGCGGCTGCGGCTGGGTTTCGCAAGCCGCTGGGCTTCTGTCACGGACCCACCTCACCACGAAGTCGGCAGCGTCGCTGGTCGATGCAGGCTTTCAGAACCATCTGGCCGCGACAGGGGAGCCGCACGGCTGCAATCCGCACGAGATGCCACTGAGAGACGCGCGCGGTGGCAGGCGGGTCCGCCCGTTTCCCCGTGACCCAAACACGATACACCCCCAAAGGGGCTTTGAGGCTGGGGCTGCCAGCTCAAACATAAGAGCAGTGCACCACGCCTGGGCGCCAGGGGGTAAGCACACAACAAGACATGCTAGAAGCCGCTGGCCTTCTCAGACCAACGCCGGGGGTCCAGCGCAGATCCAAGAAATCTGATCGGACCACGTCAAGTTCGAGGTCGAGGCGGAGGAGGAGGAGGAGGATCGAGGAGGAGGAGGAGAATCGAGGAGGAGGAGGAGGATCGAGGAGCGCAATCCTCGAGAAGAACAGGATCGAGGCCCCGGCGAGGTCGGAGCAAGCGCTATGATCCCGCCTGGGCGAGGTCAGGAACGAATTTTGACCCCGCCGCCCGGGCGGGAGCACAACACTCCCTCCTGACCGCGCCTAGGTGCTGCGGTCAACACGCTCTCTCGCCGCCTGGTGTTTCGCCGATCGGGTAGGGAATTGAGACGCCGTGTCGCTTGAGCCTCTCTTGCGAACAAGACTTACTTATCTGTCCCTCTCTCTCTCGAGCTGTCTCTGTCTGTCTGTCTGTCCGTCTGTCTTGTGTGTCTGTCTGTCTGTCTATGTCTCTATCTCTGTCTTTGCCTCTGGCACTGTTTCTGTCTCTGTCACCGTTTCTGTCTCTGTCTGTCTGTCTGTCTGTCTGTCTGTCTGTCTGTCTGTCTGTCTGTCTGTCTGTCTGTCTGTCTGTCTGTATGTCTGCCTCCTCCACCATCGCTCTCTCTTGTCAATATATATATATATATATATATATGTATCTTTATTTTTTTCATATGCCCTCTCTTTTTTTTTCTCTCACTCTCTCTCGCTCCCTCTCTCTCTCTCTCTCTCCGTCGATCTGGACGTCCCACGAGAGGACACGCATCGCGCTTCGAAGAAAGGGCAATCCATATGTATAATATAATACATATGAAAAGAGAAAGAGAGAGAGAGAGAGAGAGAGAGAAAGAGAGAGAGAGAGAGGAAAAAAATAGAGAGAGGGAGAGAGAGAGAGAGAGATAAAGAGAGGCAGAGAGGGAGAGAAAGAGAGAGAGAGACATATATATATAGAGAGAGAGAGAGAGAGAGAGAGAACGAAAGAAAGAAAACAATATTGACAGAGAGGGGGAAAGAGAGAGAGAGAGAGAGAGAAAGAGAACAACGGCATCACCGAGAAAGTGCCATGAACATGAGACGGCGCTGCGTATGCTCAGATTTGAGCTCGAAACCTGTCCTGTAAATCAGTGTTTGTTTCATAGGGTCTAAGACGTCAACTTTGTATCCTTCTTTCTTTCCGTGGCTCCATCTGCCCGCAATCGGCGTGGGTTCCTGCCCATTGTCAGACACGCGTAGCGTGCCAAGATCTGTGGAGTGTATGTGCAAAGAGGAATGTGGTCAGCGGTAGTCGAATCAGCCCCCCTGTGACACTTCGCCCCGTGGAAGTGTGGCGAGGGGTTGCGAAAGAAATTCGTCCCAACTGGGTGATGAATCAACAATGTGGGGAGGGAATGGAGGACGAGGAGGGGGTGAAAGATGAGCATGGGGTGCTGGACCAATCAAGCAGGGCAGTGATTGATCCCACAAGCCAAACGTCACGCAGCCGATTGCAGCTCATCCGACGGTCGGAAGAAGAGGAGGACCGGATTGACTAGGATGAGCATGAGGACGAACAAGATATAGAAATTAGGCTCCCAATAGTACTCCATGGCCTTCCGCACGCCCTCCCATTCGAAATTGTTGTAACTACCCTGCATCTTGCCGGCAAGTTCTCCGTCCCTGGGCAGTGCAAGAGAGAGTAATACTGTGCGCGGGGGACGGAATGCATGAGAAGGAGGAGTGCAAAGAGGAGTGTTCAGGAGGGGGGCAAAGAGGACATCTGTGGTAACCGGGCCGCACATCTCAGCACCTCCAATCGTCAAGGCACCCCGACGATGTCATCGAGTACCGAGTACACACGACACAACTTACTTTCGATCGTACTTTCGCAATCGTTCTGGGTCGAGCACGCAGCAGGAGCAGTGGTCCTCGTTTCTCCCTCCCCCCGTGCCTTCCCATATCCCCTCCGCCATCCTCCCCCGAATCCCTGCCACACAGATCCTCCAACGCCTAACGCTTATGCCTCATGCCCGTCTTTCCTCCAGAGGGGTGCCAGGGGCGCGCAGACGCGCATGCCACACGCGTCGGGCATCCGCCATATAATGCGGCCCAGTAGGCCCTCGCTTGACTCATGATGCCTACCGAGGGACGGCTCCTCCCCGCCCCAACCCGAAATCATCGCTCGTCTGAGTGCTAGCCACGTTCGCCCCCCGCCCAAACTCGGGAGCGGCCAAGAGGGGGGTGTCCAAGAGGGGGGGGTGCAAATCATGACCGGCGGCATGTGCGCGGCCCAGCGGGGGGGCCAGGGACGTAATGAAATAAGAAGAGGCGCCATGAAATCTGGAGAAATATCATGGCCCACGCCATGATATCCACCCCCCCTAGTCATCACCCCCCTCTTTTCCGCCCCCGACAAACCCGGGACAACAGCCCCGCACGAGTCTGGCACTCTTGCGGGCCCCGAGGGCGGTGCAGTGACAGACGGCGCGGTGACCTCGGACTCCCCCAGGACACCTCACCGGGCGGTCCGCCGCCGGCACGCCTTGGGGACCCCGGCGACCCCCAGTCGCCCGGGACGTCCTCGGAGAGCGGCTGGCCGGAGTCCCAAGAATGTGCGGCCACCCCGAGTCATCACTAAAAGAAGAAGAAGAAGAAGAAGAAGAAGAAGAAGAAGAATAATAAGAAGAAGAAGAAGAATAAGAAACAAAAACAAAAAGAAAAAGACATCAAAAACGCCATGAACATTAACTTTCGATGGCCCGCGCGGATCTCTTGGAGCTGCGCCTGGCGCGCTCCGGCGCTGGAGGCGCCGCTTGGGGTCCCAGCGCGGATACGAATCCGCGCGGACCGTTAAAAGTCTATGTTTATGGCGTTTTCCTCCTTCGAATCACTGGCTCAACGCGGTGCGGTCGCCGCACCCTCTGGGGCCCCTCGAGCCCTCCCGCACCGCACCGCGGCGCCGCGGGGGGAGCCCCCACGGCGCCCCGCGCGGTGCAGCGGCGCGGGACCGCACCTGCTTCCTACATCAGGGGCCCGACCACAAGAAACCCTCCACAGGCAACCCAAGCCCGAGACCCCAGCACGTCCATTGGTTTGTGAATGTGGGAACGTCACGCCTTCCACAGCAAAACCATCGAACCCTAAGAAACCCAGGGCACCCTGGAGGCAAGCAGGGTGTTTCTTGGCATGGGCCTCCACTGTGGGTCACCCAACTCTGCGCATCGCGCATGGCCCTCCAGCGCCCCGCGATGCTCGGTTGTCTTCGCGCCCTCGCGCCGCCGCCCTGGAGAAGGGTGCCTCTCCGACCCAAGCCGAGATGCGCGAAGCGAGACTGACTACCTACCAGACCACCCCAACCCAACCCGAAGACTCGAATCTGACCCGAAGTTCTGGTTGGGGGGGGGGGTAACGGGTTCCATGCGTTTCTTCCCCAATGTTCCCCGACCCCCCCCCCCCTGGAAACGGAAGGCGAATTGGGGCCTTCGGGTTGGGTTGGGGTGGTTTGGTGGGTGGTGAGAGGCTACCTTGGCGCTCCTGGGGGCGACGCAGGCTTCGCCCCCACAGGCCAGTGACTGCCGTCGGCCGACGGCACGCAGGCGGCAGCAATTCCAGGCTCGGTGCCGCTCGCCAGCGCGCGGCGACGCTCTGGGCCGGAGCCGCTGGCCGGAGCTGCCGCCGCCAAGCTCTCGGAAACCCTCGTGAGGCCACGAGGGCGCAACGAAGATGTCATTGATGGGTGGGCGACCGCCAGTACCGTCGGGGCGTTGGCCTAAGGAACCCTAAATAAGGAACGAGGCCCCTTTTTTCCATGAGTTAAACTTCGATTTCCCGTCGAAAACCTACGGAAAACAGAAGGCAAGCTGTGAAACAATCAAGGAACACGGAGCCCCTCCCAAACGAAAAGGGTTCCTTCTTCAGGGCCCCGACTGTAGCCGAACTGCTTGCGCGCGCCGACGTGCAAAAATCCCACCAGCCCTTTAGGGCCTAGGTGGTCTAGGGTATTGTCTTCCATCTGCCTCTCTTCCCCTTCGGGGAGGGGTTTATCACTGTGCCCTATTAGAAGAACACCCCCTCCCCCACCTGGCCGGCAGCCAACCCCGAACCATGCGGGCAACCCCCCCCGCCATCCCTGTCAAAAAACAATTCCAAATACACATCGCGGGGCCCACCCTGCCAACACACTCCACAATCCTGGTCAAAAAACAATGCGAAGTGCACATTGCAGCTAAATCTGGACAATGCGCTGGCGCCCTGTGAGCATGTTGTATTGTTTTTGACACCGAATGGCGGGGCACCCTTAATGAAGCCGCTTTGTGCAGGACCACCATCCGTGTCAAAAACAATGCAAAATGCACGTTGCGACAAAGTCGTGGGTATGATGCTTGCTGTGCGCAGGCCCAGAACAATGCTGGATGGACACACCAACCGCATGCGGAGCCCGCGGCGAGCGTCGCGCACCTGGCGTCCGCTTTGGTTCCCAGTGGCTGTCCATCCAGTGGCGACCCCTGGCTATGCCGAGACTCGGATGCCACTTATGTGGTGGGAGGGCGGGTGGGAGTGAGCTAGACGGCTTGCGTGCGGAGAGGGTGTCTTGAGTCAGCGTTCCCTATTAATAAGCCCCCCCACACCTGGCTGGCAGCCAACCCGGAACCAGGCGCACACCATGGGGCCCCCTCCCCACCGTGCCTGTCAAAAAACAATACACAACGCACTCTGCCTCCAAATTCGGAGCATGCGCAACCAACCCGATGCGGCCCCCCCCCACACCATCCCTATCACAAAAACAATACACGGTAAATTTGGGGTAACGTCTGGAATCATGTCCGTGAGGCCCGCGGGCACTTTGTACTGTTTCTCGACAGGGACGGCGGGGGTGTCAGCATACTGCCTGCTGCGCGCAGGGCTACCATCCCTGACAAACACACAATACAAAATGCACCTCGCGGCTAAATTTGGATAGTGCGAGGCCACCCCGCGATCATTGTCATGCGGTTTTTGTAAGAGACGGCGGGGGTGGTGGCGTATGGCCTGCACAATGATGGCCAATGGTTTTCGACAGGGATGGTGGGGGCCGACATGTTTCCCGATGTGTGCTGTCACGTGCGCAGGCGCACCTGACACACTCTGCACGTGCCCCGGACGTGGCGCACCTGGCGCGGCTGGAGGGAGCACCTGGCGCACCAGGCGTGCCTGGCACGCTCGGGCCCCAGGGGTGCCTGGCGCGCGTAGCGCGCCTGGCACGCGCGGCGCACCTCGCCCCAGCGTCGCGCACATGGGTTCGGTTTTGGTTCCCAGTAGCTGCCTATCAAAAGACGACCGCGGAACATGCTGAGGCTCGGGTGCTATTCATGTGTTGGGAGGGCGGGTGGGAGTGAGTTAGACGGCTTGGTATCTGGAGGGTGTCTTGACCCTTCCCCCTCCCTACCCTCCCCTGGACCTGGACGGGGCCGGTCGCGAGGTGTTAGAGCGTCCGAAACGGCCTCGGCGAGGAAGCCACCATCATTGGTTTTACTAAGGTTTTGGCTCCATCTTGGCCCCCGGGGGGGGGGCACCACTAATAAAAGCCCCCCCTCTTGTTTGATCGATGTCCTCCAAGATGGCTCAAAGATGGTCCCTAAGGCCACCAAGGGCGGTCCAAGAGAGCCCCAAGAGGTGCCCAGGAGGCCCCAAGAGGCCCCCAAGAGGCCTCCAGGATGCCCCCAAGAGGCTCCCAAGAGACCCCCCAATAGGCCCCAAGAGGCCTCCCAGAGGCCCCCAAGACGCTCCAAGAGGCCTCGGCGAGAATGCCAAAATCATTGATTTTATACGGCTTTGGCCACATTTTGGCCACCTGGGAGGGGGGGCACTGATTAAGATGGCTCCAAGGGCGCCTGGGGGAGCCCAAGCTGGCCTCCAAGATGACTCAAGATATCCCAAGATGCCTCAAGATGGCCCCAAAGATGCTCCAAGAGGTCCCAAGAGGTCCCAAGACCGCTCCAGGACGCCGAGAAGTGGCCAAAGAGCTCCCCCAGGAGGCCCCGAAGAGGACAACATCCTTTCAAACTTTTGGGAAAATCAATGTTTGTTGCTTTCTCGCCTTTTCGCTTCCGATGGCTATCCGAGGCCCCAAGATGGCTCCAGGATGGGCCAAGAGGGTCCAAGGGAGGCTCAAGAGAGCCCCAAGAGTCCCAAGAGCGCCCAAGAGCGCTCCAAGAGCGCCCCAAGAGCGTCCCAAGAGGCGACTTTGGGGGCTCCCGAGGGGCAACGCTAGTTAATGCTCCCCTCTTGTTGAATCGATGTCCTCCAAGATGGCCCCAAGAGCGCTCCCAAGGTTCCCAAGAGCGCCTCAAGAGGGCCCCACGAGGCACCCAGGAGGCCCCAACAGGCGCGCAAGAGGCCTCCAAAAGGCTCCTAAGAGACCCCCAGAGGCTCTAAAAGGCTCCCCGAGACGCTCCAAGAGGCCCCTGGGACCGCCAAGAGGCCCCCTAAGACGCAAGAGAGGCCCAAGAGAGCCCCAAGACGGCCCCAAGAGCGCCCAAGGGTGTCCTAAGAGCGCTCCAAGAGGGACCCTTCATCTGCGTGCTGCTCACTTCCCTGATCGAGGCAAATCCTCTGGGCATCGTCTCTGGATGGGCTGGTGGGGCTGCGCGAAACGTCTAGAATTACACACATGCAAACTTTGGAGGTCGCGGCCTCGCGCGCAGCGTCGAGGCGGAGCAAGTCAAGTCAAGCAAGCGGAGCCCGCGCGCGCCGGCCTCAGAAAAAAAACGCACCACACACAGACACACACACACATGTTTGGTTCCACGGCCCTGTCACTAGCTGGCTTCCCTTACAGTCGGGGCGTTGACCCAAGGAACCCTAAATAAGGAACGAGGCCCCTTTTTCCATACGTTGAACTTCGATTTCCGATCTAAGACCGAAGCTAAACCCAAAGAGCACTGTGAAACAACTAAGGAACACAAAGCCCCTCCCAAACGAACAGGGTTCTTTCTTCAGCGCCCCGACTGTAGCCGGCTTCCCTTACCTGGGGCCCTCTGCTGTGCATCCCAATGCTTTCAGCGCAATCCTGTTCATGGGCGCGGAGGAATGCACGAGCAGAGACCGCGAACATCGGCGGACGGCACCTCCTCCTCGCACCCTTCCCCTCTGCTCGACGCTCCGCCCAAACAGCGCAAAAGCGCACCGCCCAGGGGCGCCAGGGGGGTGGTCCAGCTCTGGCGGAAAATCCGCCTGCGGATGTTCGACGGCAGGAATGCCTAGGAATTCGCAGGAATCCGTGGGAATCCTTAGAAATCCTGAGGAATCCTAGGAATCCATAGGAATCGATAGGAATCCTTAAGAATCCTTAGGAATCCCTACCGGTTGGCTTGGCTCCTTTTTCGCGCGCGGCCCTCCCACTGCCCACCCCCAAACATCTGGCGTCTCCACCGGTTTGTTCTACGCGTGGCCCCTGGACCTCTCGACCCCTTCCCCGCCTCCTCCTCCTCCTCCTCCTCCTCCTCCTCCTCCTCTGGGCCGGCTGTTCATCCCGACTCGTGCGTGAGCGGCCCCGAAGCCCGAAGCCCAACATCGGCCCCCCACAAAAGCAGAACGGCGACAAACCGGCCTCCTCCATTCTTTTCGAAGCGCTGGACTTCTTGTGTGAGGCATGCGGAAAGCAACGCCTTGGTTTGGAGGTGGCCAAGGGTCTCAACTGGTTTGGGCCCCAGACATTCGGCACAGAGGAGGGTAAGGCCAAACTCGTTCAAATCGGTCCCCGGACCCCTCCCGAGGTCTCCCTGGTGCAACTTCACCCAGGATCGTTTCTGACGGTCCAGGGGCCCGAAAACGGTCCCCAGAGTCCGAAAAAGGCAAAAAGCATTCGAACCAAGCGCCTCGAACCTCTGTTCGGCGATGACGGGCGTCATGGGGGGGGGGCGGGGGGGGGTTATGACGTAACGCCCCCCCCCGCCGTGTGGTTCCGGCACCACAGCCGCGCCCGCGCGCACGACGCGCACGACGCGACGAGCGACGAGCGACGAGCGACAAGGACGACGACGACGACGACGAGGACGAGGACGACGCGAGCAAAATGTAGGTGGCGATCTGCCCCACTGCGCCTGTGTACGCATCGCTCGCGTGCACCACAAAGCGCGCGAACACCACAACACCTGCGTACACCGCAAGATCCGTGTGCAACGCAGCGCCTGTGTACACCACAGTGCTAGCGTACACTACAGCGCCGGTGTACATGTTTACACAGCAGCAACCATGTGCAACAGAGCGCTTGTGTACACCACAATGCTTGCGTGCACCGCAGCGCCTATGCACGCCACAACGCCTGTCTACACCACAGCATCCGCGTGCAACGCAGCGCGACTGTACACCAGTGCTTGCGTGCAGGACAGTGCTGATAATCGAATGCGACGTTATTCCCTCTTCCCTCCTCCTCCACCTCCACCTCCACCTCCACCTCCTCCTCCTCCTCCTCCTCTTCGTCCTCCTCCTCCTCCTCTTCCTCCTCTTCCTCCTCCTTACCCCCTGTCGTGCGGGGTGGCGCTACAGCGCACGTGCGCAATTCAGCGCGCAGTGCACCGCGTAATGGTCTATTGAATCGGTCCACTTGGTTCTCGCACGGCCAGCTTAGCTGGAGCCTCCTGGAAGTTAGGGTGATGCGGGCGGACTCGGGAGAACTCGTAGATTCCAGCGGTGCTCCTTTGTCCAGAAGGATTCCTTTGTACTGTTTTCTGTGGAATCCACGAGCGCTCCATTTTGTCATACGGATTCCTTCTAACATTCGATCTGCAAGTGTGGCGCTGTGTTGCACACGGTTGCTGTGGTGCACACAGGCGCCGTGGTGTACACAGGCACTGCAATTCACGCAGGCACTATGGTGTACACTGGTGCTGTGTTGCGCACGGCTGATGTGGTGTACGCAGGCGCTGCGGTGTACAGAACAGCTGTTGCGTCCGCGAGCACGGTGGCACAAACTGACGCTGTGTCGCACGCGGCTGCCGTGGTGTACGTAGGCGGCGTGGTGTACACAGGCGCTGTGGTGCACGCAGGCACTGTTGTGCACACAGGCGTTGTGGTGCAGATCGCCACCTACATGCTGGTGCTACCCGTCCTCCGTCATTCCTAGGCATTCCCAAACGCCGCCGGCGCGAAACATGATGTCATCGACCCCCTCCACACCCCCTCAGATGATTGCCGTGACCGGCCCGGAACAAATAACAAGCTCCAGCCGCGTCCGTGCGCACGACGACGATGAGCGACGAGCCACGAGCGATGACGACGACGACGACGACGACGACGACGACGACGACGACGGCGGCGACGACGACGACGACGACGACGACGACGACGACGACGACGACGACGACTGCGGACCAACCAGACTCCTACGCGGATTCTTACGCGGACACCTACGCGGATCCCAGCGCGCACGGCGGCAATGCCCAGAGCGCACTGGGGGGGGGAGCGTTACGTCATAGGGGGGGGGGAGCGGGGGCCATGACGCCCGTCATGCCCCAAGCAATAAAGAAATGGTGTCCTCCCCCCCCGCCTTCCTGCCCGCTGGAAGTAATTCTGGGCCACCTCAGACGCCCGGCTGGCTCCAAGCTGTAGTCATGCTTTGCTCCTCCCCCTTGCATTCCATTCGTAGGCGGAAGAACAAGGCCGGTCGCCTGCGCCGCCGGTTCGCCGCATAGACGCAGCCAATGTTGGCGCAATTCAGCACCACCGTCCTCGTCCTCCTGAGTCGCCGCGCAAAGTCCTCAGATCCTCCATCGCATCTCCTTGTACATAACCAACTCATGATAGTTCCCCCTCGTCCTCCTGGGTCGCAGAGAAAAGCCCTCAGATCCTCCATCCCTTCCCCCTGCAGACAGTTAACTCATGTAGAGGCCTCACTGGTCGGATCCGTCCTGGGTCGGAAGATCGCGCCGCACCGACAATGCATCGCCGATGCATCGGCGACGCTAGCGCGGAGCAAATCAGGCTCCACATCGAGCCGCATTGGCGATGCATCGGCGAGGCGGCGCGATCCTCCCACCCATCTGCTCGGACTCCACCTGGGAGGCTTAGATCATGATAGCTCCTCCTCGTCTGGCCACCAGACGTGTCGGTGGGGCGTGCGAAGCGCTTCGCCTGAGACCTCCTCCTTGTTTGAGACCCCGAAGCGTAAATTCTCCGACGGGTTCACAGACGGATGGGGAGGGTGAGAATGTGGTTCTTGACCTGGCGCCGCGCACATACGCGGATGGCGTTTTCAACATGTGACTCTCGCCTTACCGCCGCACGCCTTCGTCTTCAAAGCTACACGGATGGAGGCGGGGATCGTTTTGTAAATGTACCTCTCGCCCTAGCGCCGCGCACGCTGGTCGCAAATATGCAACAGTTGCACGGATGGAGTGCGGTTTCTTTTCGACATGTGGCCCTTGCCTGCGCGCCGCGCAAATTCTTGTGAACAGCTTCTGCTAATTACGCGGACGGAGGAAACGCGCGTTTCCACCATGTGGCTCTCGCTTTAGCGCCGCGCGCTTTCGGCCGGAAAGCTTCTCGCAGCTACGCGGGTGGAGTGGTTGTCGCTGTCAAAACAGCCGCCGCCCGGCCTCGAACCGACTCTTCGCAGTGGCCTCGGGCCGTGTGCTTGGCCGCCGGCGGTCGAGCCCGCGCCTTCCTCGAGGAGTTGGCCCGGCAGATTGCTCGACGGCCAGCTATCGTGACCCGCGGCGTCCAGCAGCTGTGCCTCACGACGTGGCACGCACTGTGCCGAGGCCTCTTTTAGGGGAGCAAGAGGTGACACAAACATAAAAACTTGGAGGTCCGCGCGGACTTCTCGGATCGGCGCTGGGGCCCCCCGGCGGCGCGGCGCCGCCCCTGGCGCGCTCCGCGCGCCAGGGAGGGGGGACCAGCGCCGATCCGAGAAATCCGCGCGGACCTCCAAGTTTTTATGTTTATGTCACTTTTTGTTCCCCTATCTCTGCACTCGGGATGCCTTGAGGAAGGCCCGTTTACCGGCCTGCTCTGCGTAGATCTTGGCCGCCCTGGCCATCGCTCGGACGTCCATTCCCTGTGTTTTTTTCGGTTTCGTGCGTGGTTTTCTCGCCAAATGATCAAAGATGCTCCTCGATGGTCCTCTCCGACGGAAAAATGCACCCGTCCGAGCGATGCCAAGCGCCGTGCTGGCGGCGGCCTCCTCGGTGCTGAGCGGTGGGCGCGGCGCTCGGCCACGGGGAGTGCGCGCTAATCTGCCGGCCTTGCGCTGCAGCAGCGCCTCCACACCTTCGACGCGGCGCGCCTCTGCAGGCACGGGCCGTCTCTGGACGCTGTGCGAAGCACAGCGCGCGTGGGACGTTTGTGGCCGTTTGGGACGTTCTGCGAATCACAGCGTGGGAGCGGGAATGGAGAGGAGAGGAGAGGAGAGAAGAGAAGAGAGGAGAGGAGAGGAGTGGGAGGGGAGGCGAGGAGAGGGAGGAGGAGGAGAGGGAGGAGGAGGAGGAGGAGGAGGAGGAGGAGGAGGAGGAGGGGAAGGAGGAGGACGAGGAGGAGGAGGAGGAGGAGGAGGAGGAGGATAGGAGGAGGAGGAGGAGGAGGAGGAGGAGGAGGAGGAGGAGGAGAGTGGGAGAAGAGAGGAGTGGGAGGGGAGGTGAGGAGAAGAGAGGAGAGGAGAGGAGTGGCAGGGGAGGTGAGGAGAGGAGAGAAAAGGCCCGACACCCCGACGTTCTCGCTGCGAGCCTGGCCAAAGAATCGGCGTCGAGCCCAACTGACGCTCCGCGAGAATCTCCTGGGCCACGGTGAGCTCGTCCAGAAGCGCGCCTGGCTGCCTTCCCACGGCCAGTGTGCCGCCGGAGCTGGGCCAGTAGCCGCCGAGGCAGTCGGCGAGCTGCCGGTGGGCGTTCGCGACTGCGCGTGCCAGCCAGCCTGGTCGACGTCGGCGGCGCAGCAGCACGATCGAGCACAGCCGATGAACCACGTTAGCGACGAAACGAAACTGGTTTTACGCGAGATGACGAAACGACCTTACGCGGTGGTTTGCGCAGGCGCGAGCGACGAAACGAAACCGGCTCTACGCGAGATGACGTAGCGACCTTACGCGGCAGTTTGCGCAGGCCGCCACCGCGGAACGCTACAGTGGAAGCGAGAGTGCTCACGCGCGGCCTTGCGCTGGCAGCTTGCGCGCAAATGTCCGCGCAATCGAACCCGTTCTTGTTTGCCTCGCTCACGTGGCACATGCCCAGTGATCGCTGGCGCGTGCTCTGGGGGCGAGATGTCCGTCCAGGAGTGCCGAAGCTGGACAGCTGGAGCCGCGCGACCGGCAAGCTCGGCCACCGGCGCCAGACGATACTTCTCTCAGTGGTGCTCGCCCGCATTGGCCGCGCTGCAGAGCCCCGCCGGGCGCTCCCGAGCCTGAGGGTCTGCACTGTTCCAGGGCGTCCCGCGAGGCCTGGGCACCGTCGCGCCGCCGCGCCGCCCCCTCTGGAAGAGGGCAACCGCTCCGGCCCAGACCGCGACGCGCCAGGCGCGACCATCTCCGCGTCCCGCGGGTGACCTAGTGCATCTGCTTGCTCATCAGCGTCTCTAGAGGCCTCCTAGATGGGGTCGGAGTAGATGGGGTCGGAGGATCGCGCCGCATCGCCGATGCATCGCCGATGCATCTCCGATGCCTCGGCGGCGATGCCTCGGCGACGTCGTCGGTGCATCAGCGACGCCGACGTGGAGAACATCGAGCTCCGCATTTCGCCGCATCGGCGATGCATCGGCGATGCATCGGCGATGCATCGGCGATGCGGTGCGATCCTCCGACCCCATCTGGCAGGCCTGCCATGGATGGAACCCGTGCCAGTTCAG